TATAAAGTTATTTTTCAACTTAAAATTTATTATCATGTTTATCTTTTTGTGTTTGTGCATTTTGTTATGTTTGATAGTCTACTTATGCTGTAGATTATGGTTCCTAAATTTGCTCTTCTTTTTCTCTGTAATGATCTTCATACAAGTTTTACTTCTAGGTCTGTGATGCACCTCTGAGTTAAGGGTTCATATATGGTGTGAGGTCTTGCTTCAATTTTCTACAGATATCCAATTTTGCCAGAATGGTGTTAAGAGTTCAAAACAGCTCTTTTAGCCATTTTACTTTGCCTCTGCCATGTGACTGGGCAAGAATAAGAGGATAGGGTACAAGAGTCTATCCACAAAGGTATTGTCTAATCTCACCATTAATTAAGGGATTCAGGAACAGAACTTGATAATCTCACCACTAGCACAGAAGCAGCAGGAATGCAGTGTGCAGCCTTTGGGGCCAGAGATTCTTGTGCCACCTAGACCTACCTACAGGAGAGCAGCAGCAGTCACAGGAGAGAACCAGAGAAGAAGAGAAGCCTTCGCCCAGGCTTGCTGGATAACTTGGAGGCAGAGGCCCTAACTGGCAGCACTAAGTGTGCTTAGTTAACACTGGTCTAAAGCTGCAAAGCTGAAGGCTAAACTGCCTACAAGCACACATTGGAAACTTCCAAGACTGAAAAAATTATCAACTGAAATTGTATCCTGTTACCTTCCATAATAAGCCCCATACTATTAGCATAATTCTGTGTGCTCTGTGAGCTACCGTAATGGATTTTAGATCCAATAGAGACGTAAGATTAGAATTAGAAACGGGAGTGTGGGGAACTTGTCTGACCTCTAGGAATTGATTTTGTATAGCAGATAATGATGATGGGGTGTTCCTGCTTGTGGACTTAGCAGAGGTCAGATGCACCCATCACCACGCAGCCATTGCTCCTTTTACGGCCAGCATACTTGGGAGGTAGACAGAAGCACTAGATGTGTCACTCACTGAATGAAGTGTAATTCTAACCATTAATCTAGAAATCAAATGCAATGAGGTTTTTGGTTATACATAAGAAATCCATTTCAGACTGAACTTAAAGAGGGGGATAGAAGTTACTATTGTGTGTCTTTTGGAGCATGTGTTGTTATTATTTAGAGATGACAGCAAGTCAACCATGACAAATAGCAAACCCTGAACCACAGATCTGAGCCTTGCCCAATTCTGTGCCATGCTCATGATCTCTTGATATACTCAAGCCCACTAATCACATTTATTTGTGTGCCTATTATCTATGATCATTTTTAAGGGTAGAGGCAACAGAGACTAGTTCACAAAGTTCTCTGGCCTTCTACTGTATGAGTTTGACAATCTGAACTACAATATTCCCTTGGAGATTGGGGAAGAACAGCTTGTACCATCAATCACTAATATAATACTGTTCTAAAGATATAATCCAATGTAATTTGAAAGGAATATTAAAATTTTAATTTCTGTGACAGCTTCCTGTTTGTGAAAGGATACTTACTTCTCTCTTGTTAGGCACTGTCGAGTTGAGGACAACTCACAGCAACCCTATGAACAACAGATGTGAACACTGTACTATGCTGTGAAAACTCAACAAACTCTGACACATTTGCTCACTGCCGCAGTCATTGTGTCAATCTACCTGGTTGAGTCTTCCTCTCTTTTGCCATCCCTCCACCTTTTCAAGCATGGTGTCCTTCGCTGAAGGAATAGCTACTCCAAGCAACACATCAAAAGTATATGAGATGAAGCTTTATCATGTTTGTCTCCAAGGAGAGCTCTGGCTGCACCTTCTCTAAGAAATATCTGTTTGTTCTTTTGGTCGTCCATGGGTTATTATTCAGTACTCTTTTCCAACAACACAGCCAACGGTATCAATTCTTCTTCTGTCAACCATATTTAAAATCCAGTTCTTAAGATGCATAGCAAGTAACTGAAAAGACCACAGCCGGAATCAGACATACCTTATTCTTCAAAATGACATCACTGCTCCTCAATAATTTAGAAAGGTCCTTAACTACAGACTTTCACAGTGCAATATGTGTTGATTGTGGATCCAAGTAAGATGAAGTCACTGAGAGTTTCAATCTTTTCTCCACCTGAAGTTGTCTATCACTCTAGGGACAAAGATTTTAGTTTTCTTGATGATGAAATGCAATCTGTACTGAAGGTTGCATTCTCTGATCTTCTTCAGCAAGTACTTCAAGTCTTCCTCATTTCAGCAAGCAAGATTATGTCACCTGCATACCAAAGGTTACTGGTGAGTCTTCCTCTGATCCTGATGCCATATTCTTCTTCACAAGAGTCTAGCTTCTCAAATAATTTGCTAAGCCTACAGAATAAATAGATATGGAGAAAGGATACAACCCTGATGCACATCTTTCTTTATTTTAAACCATGTACTGTTCCCATGCTATGTAGGACAATAGCCTCTTGCTCTAGGTAGAGGTTTCACATGAGCACAATTAAGTGTATTGGGATTCCTATTCATCTTAATGCTAGCCAAAATCTGTTATGAGCCACACAGTCAAATGCCTTTGTAGAGTCATACGGTACAGATACTCTTCTGGTATTCTCTGCTTTCAGTCAAGCTCCATCTGACATCAGCAATGAAGCCCTGATCCCACAGTCTCTTCTAAACCCAGCTTGAACTTCTGGTAGTTTTCCATCAAAGTACTGTTCTAAGCATTTTTTAAATGATCCTCGACAGTATTTTATTTGCACGTGATATTAATAATATTGTATGATAATTTCTGTATTTGGTGGATCACTTTTCTTGGGAATGGAAATAAATATCGATTTCTTCCTGTCAGTTGGTCAGGCAGCTGTCTTCAAAATTTCCTGACATAGACTGGTCAGCAGGTCTAAGGTTGTGTCTGTTATTTGAAATATGTCAATTGGTATCCCACTGATTGCCATGACCTCATTTTATGCCAAAGCTTTCAGTGCAGCTTGAACTTTTTCCTTCATTACCAGTGGCTCTTCATCAAATATGTTTGTTGATATTAAGTGACATCAAGTCACCTGCGACTCATAGCGACCCTATGTCTAATAGCCCTAAACCCTGCTCTATCTTGTGTCAATCTTACTGTCTCTGACACACCTACTGCCATAACCCCAGTCATTGAATCAATGCATTACATTGAGGGTCTTCCTCTCCTGCACAGTTCCTCCACACTCCCAAGCATGACTTTCCTTTCCAAGGACTGATCCCGCTTTGCAACATGTTAAAGTATGTCAGATGAAGCTTCAGAATCTTTGCCTCCAAGGAGTAGCCTGGTTTCATCCTCTCAAGAATGAACCTGTTTGTTCTCTTGGTGATCCATGATATATTCAATACTCTTCTCCAACACCACAGCTCAAAGGCATCAATTCTCCTTCTGTCATCCCTAGTCATTGTCCTGCTCTCTGATGCACAACAAGGGATTGCGAGACCATGGCTGGATCAGGCACACCTCAGTCTCCAGAGTGACATTGTTGCTCTTCAGTACTTTAGAGAGGTGTCTGACAGCCAACTTTCCCAGTGCAGTACGACTTTTAATTTCCTGGCTGCTGTTGCCAAGAGTGTTGATTGTGGAGTCAAGCAAACTAAAGCTGTTAACAATTTCAGTCTCTTCATTGTCCATCATGATGCTGCCAATCGGCCCAGTGGTGAGAATCTTTGTTTTCTTGATATTGAGCTTCAATCATATTGAACGCTGTAGTCTTTGACCTTCTGCAGCAAGAGCTTCAGGTCCTCCTCAGTTCCAGCACTCAGGGTTGTGTCATCTGCATAACCCAGATTGTTATTAGTCTTCCTCCAATCCTGATGCAACATTTATCTTCATAGAGCCCGGCCTCCCGGATAATCTGTTCTGTATATAGATTGAAAAGGTATGGAGATAGAACACATCTATGGCATACATCCTCCCAATTTTGAACCATGCAGTGGTCTCTTCTCAGTTCGGACAACTGCCTCCTGATCCAAGTATATTTTTTTGCCTAAGTATGATCAAGTGTTCTGGGATTCCCATTCTGCTCAGAGTTGGTCAGAGTTTTTTGTGGTCCACATAAACACCTCTGAATAGTCAATGAAACCGAGATAGGCATTCATCTGATATTCCCTGCTTTCAGCCAAGATCCATCTAACATTAGCTACAATATCCCTAGTACCGCAGCCTGTGGATGAAGGCAGAGTCTGAATATATTGTACTTCCTGAATATTTCAGTGCTGGCCATTCTTTCTGGTACAGGGATTCTGTCTTTCTTGAGGCTGCTCATTTTTCATTGCCATTCCCACCAGTGGACAGCAATGGCTGCTCTAGCTCATTCATCTTTAACTTATCCAAAAGTACTTTTTAAGTAGCCTAATTCTCTTAATATAATGGAAATAGAACAAATAATTTTGGAAAGACATATTGTATCATAAGAGAGCATACAGAAATTATCTCATATAGAAATTCTATTTCTAAATACCAAGGGCATAATGAAAAAATCAGTTATTAACAGACTCTCAGTACTACAGGGAGCTCTGGTGGTGCAGTCGTAGGGAAGTACACTGCTAACTCAAAGGTCAAGTCTTTCTGAAGGTCTGAATCCACTAGCAGCTCCAGGGGAGAAGGATGGGCAATCTCCTCCTGTTTGATTTACTGGAAACCCATTGGTGGTCAGCTATGAGTTGGTTCCAGCTCAACAGAGGGAAACTGGCACTAAAGATAGGGCCCTAGCAATGGTATGATTAAGTGTTTGGCTGCTAAAAAAATTTCCAGCAGTGGGTACCCACCAGCTGCTGTGCAGAAAAAAGATGCTGTGGTCTACTTCTGTAAAAACTGACATCCTTGGAAACTCTATGGAGTGGTCTTATAGGATCACTATGTGTCAGAATTTACTCAGTTGCAATGTTTATTTGTGCTACATAATGTTTTTAAATAAAATTAATAGTTTATCTAATATTTAAATATGATGTATGTGTATACTAATCTTCAATACAAAAAAAAATAAAGTTCACTGTTAAATATACCCTTCCTGAAGCGATAATTCTTGGTTCTCTTCTTCAGGGCCACTGCTATCACTGCGTAGTTCAGGTTCATTCTCATCTTTTCCTGGCAGAGTCTCCCAGCTTTCATCACTTGAGGACTGATCTTTTTCTGTACCAGAAAATCGGTGAGGCAAAGAAGCAGACCATTCCCCATCACTGCATTCTGAACTGCAAATTTATAACAGAAATAAAATAAACCATCATTACATATTCAACTATTTTCCTCATTAGAAAAGCTATGTATTGAGTGGACTACTGATGCCATACGTGTTTGATCATATGTCAATTTAATTTTAAAAACACAGAAACACCAGAAACATTAGCAAAGTTCAACAGAGCCACAAACAACAAACACTGGCGAGGTTGTAGACAGACTGGAACCCTTATTAATTGCTGGTAGGAGTTTAAAACAAAAAGCTGGAAATGAAATACAATTTGACCTGGCCATTCCACTACTAAGAATATATTCTAAAGAACCAGTACTGCATTCAAACGGATATATGCACACCTTTGATTACTGCTGCATCATTCACAATAGCAAAGTGATGGAAGCAACCCAAGTGTCCATTAGCAAACAAATGGGTAGAAAACCTATGGTACATTCACACTATGAAATACTATACAGTAGCGAAAACAATGAAATCTTAAGCATTAAACAAGATGGGTGACCCTGGAAGACATTATGCTGAGTGAAACATCTGGGTCACAAAAGGACAAATAGTGCATAACCTTACTGTTACACAGCCAAGTGTGACATTAGGAGTTGGGAAGAGAACAGGAAAAAAGAGTTGCCAGATAATCAACACTGCATTGGAACAGATGAAGAAAAGAACTGTTTAAAAGGGAATATATGATGAGGTATTGTATGTATGTGTGTCTCTCTCTGCAGAATATGTATGATAACAGTCCATAATAAGAAATATATTGCAAGGTGGACTGCTGGAGGGGAATAGGGGAGATGGGAGAGAGGAAAGAAAGAGTGCAATAAAGAATAAAATTGGGGGGGAAATGAACTAGGGGAGGAGGAAGGGAAGAATATTTGCAACAATAAATAAATAAAAATCCACCTTTTCTAAAAAATAAACTTTCATTAAAATCACAATTAAAATAATAAATTTTATTAAAAAATACAAAAACAAACTGACTCAGCAGAATCTAACTTTTACAAATGACTATGGCATATGACAAACCACGACATAGATCACATTTTTTCTTTCAAAGAATTAATATATTTTCTTTCACTAGATTATTTCATGCCATAGTATTGGATGTATTTTACATATGTGCAAGTAAAATTTTACATATAATTTGATAACCTTTAATTTGATCTGAGTATAACAATTCTAGCCATTGACACCTGGTAACATGTACTCTAAAAAAACACTTTTTAGATAAAATTTATGCAAACTTTTAAGAGGATTAGTTTCTTTTAATTTTTAGTTTATTTTAAAAAGAGGGAGATTAAATTCATTTAAAGTAGCGCCGACAAATTATTACTCAAATTCCTACATGGATCTGTGAATGCAAATTTCAGTTCAAGAGAATATTTGGATAGCAATTAATAGGTATAATAAAACGTTACTAAAGATCCTTGGAGAGCTCTGGTGGCCTAGCAATAAGGAGTTACACTGCCAATCCAAAAGCAAGAAGTTTGAATCTGCCACACAGGAGAAAGATGGGCAATCTCCTCTTGTGCAATTAACTGCCTATGAAAAGCCACGGGAAGGTCAGCTATGCGTCAGTTCAGACTTAAAGGTACATAACAAAGATCCTTGACTTTTAATTAAGTAGCTAAGTCTTTCCTCATATATCCAAGATTAAGGTATTTGCCAACACCGAAAAGAATTCTTTTATGGAAAAAAAAATCTTAGTTTATGTTTTGAAAAAGGTAACTGGTAGGAATTACCCTTTTTACATTCTTTTTAAAAAAGCCAAACCTGCTGCTATGGAGTTTATTCCAACTCATGATGATCCCATGTGTTATTAAGCAGAATTGCTCCATAGGGTTTTCTTGACTGCTATCTTTGGAGAAGCAGATAGATAACTGCTACTGGGTGTGTTTCAACTACTTATCTTTGGGCTAGTTGTCAAATAGAAACCATTTTGTCAATCAGAGACATACTTATTATCAATGTTTATTTAGTTCCTGCCCTTCAACAGGCAGAAGAATTCAAGAGATGATTATACTATTAACAAACAATGGAAATGACCCAAAATTACATTGTGTAAAATTTTCTGTAACCCAAGAATAATAGAAGATTCATTTTTTTCATTCCTGTTACTGCTGAGTCAACTCTGACTCTGAGGTTTAAATCACAATGGGAGGAGACTAAGCATCTTTCTCCCAAAGAGCTGCTTCTGGATTTGACTTGACTAAGTCCTTCAGTCTCTGGTTTAGCACTGTAACTCCCTGCAGACTCTGCCAAGTGAATTCTCTAGGCAAGCTCAAGTAAATAATTTCTAGATTTACATCTGTGTCAAAATCTAACCCAGGAAATACTTTATTTAAGCTATATTGTAGCTGCTGTTAGCTGATTCCAACTCATGTAGAGCCTGGGTGTGCAGAGTACAACTGTTCTACAGGGTTTTGAAGGGAGCAGCCTTCTGGAAGCAGATCACCAAATCTTACAACTAACTATTAAGGTACCATCCTGCTGCTCTTGTTGTGTACCACTGAGTTGGAACCAACTCATAGCTGACCCTCTAGTGGGTTTCAGAGACTATAAAATGCATGGGAGGAGAATGCCCATCTTTCTCTTGCATCTGGTAGAATTGAACTGCATACATTTGTGTTGACAGCACAATTTCTCACCACTAAACCATCAGAGGTTGTTAAGGTGCCTTCTAGAAGGGTGCAAATTGTCAAATTTTAGGCTGTTAGTTGAGCATTTAAATGTTTGTGCCACCCAGGGGTTTCTAAGCTAGATTACAAACACTAACTGATAACTCTTTAACATTCAGGATTGTTATGTGCCATCAAGTTGGAACTAAGTCCGAGTCGACCTTTCAGTGAATTTTCAGAGACTGTAAGTCACAAAGTAGGAGACTGCCCATATTCTTTCCATGGAAAACCTGTGGATGCAATTCACCTACCTTTGGGTTGGCAGCACAACTCCTTATATATTCAGTATAGAGTATTTTTTTTTTGGTGGAAAGTTTAACAAAACTACTCAAAACCCAAGTTGTTGTTGAGTACCATCTAGTCCAAAGAGACTCCCTACTGACCCTCCAGGGGGTTTTCAGAATAAAAACCCACAATGTTTTTTAGGGTCATAAAATATATCTTAAGATTTACTGCAAAGATGGTTAAGTCACATGGAAGGATATTGCCCATCCTTCTCCAGTAGAGAAACTGGTGGATTCAACTGTGTGCCTTCAGGATACATATTGCTTTTCTGAATTAATTAAATACTCAACAGGTATTTCCAAAGTTCAATGCAAAAAGAATGTCTAAGCTTAATAGTGAATATGACTTCACTAATCTTGCAAAATCAATGATTTATTAATTGCAAATAACTTTGTAAGAAACATAAACACAATCTATACATATGGACTTCACCTGACGGCATGCATACACATCAGTTCGATTACATCTGTGGAAAGAACCACTGAAGAAGCTCAAAATCAGCTGTGAAAACGAGGTGCTCATCGGGGAACAGACCTCCAATTACTCATATACAAGTTCAAACTGAAACTAAGAAAAATGAAATCAAATCCACGGGAACCAAAATTTAACCTATCCCATCTGTATTTCAAAACCATCTCAAGAAGAGGTTTGAGACCTTGAACACTACATGAGTGAAGACCAGGTGAGCTCTGGGAAGATATCAAGAAAATCATCCAGGAAGAATGCAAAGATCATTACAAAGACAGAGGAGGAAATAAAAACCAAGATGGATGCCAGAAGAGACTCTGAATACTGCATTAGAGCACTAAGAAGCCAAAGCAAAGAGAAGAAATCAAGATATTAAGGAGCTGAACAGAAGACGTCCAAGGGCAGCATGTGAAGACAGGAAAATATTACAATGGAATGTGCAAAGAGCTGGAGTCATAAAATCAAAGGGACCGAACTCGCTCAGCATTTCTTAAACTGCAGGAACTGCAGAACAAATTCAAGCTTCAAGTTGGAATACTTAAGGATACTTTGGGCAGAACATTATTTGATCCAAGAAACATCAAAGAAGATGGAAGGAACTGGCAGACACAGAAGAATTTCATGAAACAACGTATGAGCAGGAGCCTGTGGTGATAAAGAAAGAAGTTCAAGCTGCTCTAAAAGAATTAGCAAAAAACAAAGCCCCAGGAATGGAAAGTATGCCAATTGGCATATTTCAACAAACAGATGCTACCCTAAATGTGCTCACTAAGTTGTGGCAAGAAATCTGGAGGACAATCACCTGCCTAGCTTACTGGAAAAGATCTCTATTTGTTCCCACTCTGAAGAAAGGTGACCCAACAGAGTGTGGAAATTATCAAACATTATCATTGCTATCACATGCAAGATTCAGTTGAAGATTATTAAAAAATGAGTAGAACAGTACATAAACAGAGAACTGGTTCAAGAGCAGTCTGGGTTTAGAAGAGGCCATGGTACAAGTGATATAACTAATGTCAGATGGATCTTGGCTGAAAGTGGAGAGTACCAGAGGAATGTCTATCTGTGTTTCATTGACTATGCAAAGGCATTTGACTAGGTGGACAACAAACTGTGGCTGGCTCTGAGAAGAATGGGAATCCCGGAACACTTGATTGTGCTTATGTGAAACCTAAACTTAGATCATAAGACAGCTGTCAGAACTGAGTAAGGGAACACTGCATGGTTCAAAACCGGGAAGGGTTTACACCAGGGATGTGTCCTACCTCCATACCTTTTCAATCTATATGCAAAACAGATTATCCGGGAGGCCGGGCTCTATGAAGATAAATGTTGCATCAGGATTGGAGGAAGACTAATAACTATCTGGGTTATGCAGATGACACAACCCTGAGTGCTGGAACTGAGGAGGACCTGAAGCTCTTGCTGCAGAAGGTCAAAGACTACAGCGTTCAGTATGATTGAAGCTCAATATCAAGAAAACAAAGATTCTCACCACTGGGCCGATTGGCAGCATCATGATGGACAATGAAGAGACTGAAATTGTTAACAGCTTTAGTTTGCTTGACTCCAC